CTCCTTCAGTTTGGCCAGGGTCGGTTTTGCAACATGTGGCCTGGCGTTGTCATGATGGAAAAGAACTCCTTTGCGATTGGCCAAAATCGGACGTTTTTCATCAATTGCTTTCTTCAATTCGACCAATTGCTGACAATACTTGTTGGCAGTGATCGTTTCTCCAGCTGGCAAGAGCTCAAAATAGATCACGCCTCGGATATCCCACCAAATGCACAGCAGTACCTTCATCGGATGCAATCCACCTTTCGACATCGGTTCCGCCCCTTCGTGTGCCTGTTTCCATGTTCTTTTGCGTTGAACATTGTTGTACAGGATCCATTTTTCATCACCAGTCACGAGCCGATCCAAAAAAGGTTCGTTTTTGATCCGTCGAAGCAAAGAAATTGCTGTTGACATACGGTCCACTTTGTTTTTTTCACTCAACTGATGTGGCACCCATGTATCGAGCTTCAAAGTGTACCCAACCTTTTTTAAACGACGAAACGCAGTTGATTTGTTGACGTTCAATTCACTGGCAACCTCTTCCGTCGAAATACGTGAGTTATTCGCAACTAAAGTCCTTAGAACATCGTCATCAAGCTCAGAAGGCCGTCCACTGCGAGGTTGATCTTCGAGGTTAAAATCTCCAGAACGAAATTTCGCGAACCATTTCTTTACTGTGCGGAGTGCTGGAGCACGGTCCAAATAAACTTCGCGAATATCTTTAGTTGCAGCGCCTACTGTTTTTCCTTTGCGGAATTCGTATAACATAATATGACGCATATGATCTTTTTCGTTGCCCATCTTCCATGCGTCTTTTCACTAAGCAACTCAGATCTAAATGAAGTTATTTTATGCTTGAATTACAGTTCGTACTGTCACCTTTCCAACGATATATAATATGTATATATTTCTTTCACGAGCGCCAGTCTGAAACGATTCGGACGGCATCCAGCGGGATCGGGCACGAACTTATGCATTCATCCAATAGTTCAACAAACAATTTCTTGTTGCCCCACAGGCTTAAACGTATATAATTTCTTTAGTATTTAAATGACTAACAAGTGAGTCCAATATTGATTTAAGTCTATTAAAATAATCATTATGTTAAAGCAGACATATGTATGTACATATGTGTGTAATGAAACAAATAACAGCATGATAATAAACCGTTACTTTATATTTGATTTCCTACTAATGTAATGCTTGGCAACGCTTAAATACTTAAGCAAAATTATGGTAAAAAACAAAACAAATCATTAACGTGTAACTATTTAGGTAAATATGTTTGTAAATCAGTAGTAAATAGTTCACCAAATGGGTGTGTTTTCAACAGGGAAATAAAATTAAAAGAATAAATAATGCAAAAGAGAACAAAAGAGACAATAAAACTTGTTCTTAAATATTAAATAACTTGATTTGGTCGATTTTTTTTTTAAATATAATTTCCCTACAATCATATATATACTTGTGTGTGTGTATAATTACCACTATTTTTTTCTATTTTTTATTTATTTATTATTTTTTTTTCGCAGAGATCATTATTGCATAATAGATTTGAGCAAAGCGTTAGAGTTGCATATTTTTTGAAAGTTAAATAACTCATTTACACATATAAACAACAGTGCACTGTTTTACGTATGTGTGAGTGCATGTGTTTGTGCATATTTCTTTTTGTACTTATTACCATTTAATTCTAAACAAAAGGCCAACAACACCTCAAGCATCGGACGGGTATATATAATTGGCGCTTTGTAAACGCTTAAGCGATTTTCGGCCGAGCTCCTCCTGCAATTTGTGGTTTTGCGTCTTGGTGGTTTTCCACACAAATGGAGGGACCTACAGTTTATACTAAGCCACCGCCGAACGGCTGATGTTTTTTTTTATGAGAAGCTTTTGATTTTCATGTCAGAAATACACACGGAGGGGTTGGCATTCCCTGCGGAGGGGTGACCGCAATTAGAAAATTTAACTTTAGTTTTTTATTCAAATTCATTTTCTATAACTTTTTGGATATTAGTCCGATACCAAGATTTGAACCCGAGCCTTTGGAATGTCAGTACGCCATGTTAACCACTTGGCTACCGCGGCCGGCGGGTAATGTGTAAAAAAAGAGAGTGTTCAGCAACACCCAGAAGTGTCAATCGTTCAGAATTGACAGTTAACCACCAACCATTTACCAGAAACATGAACTTTTGCTTTCAATTAATCATGCGCATTTTTACCGTTGTTCTAATCTAATTTATTTGTTTTTGTTTTGTTAAGCTAATTGCTGATTTGCTATATTTGGCTTGAATGTGTAAAAATTTTCGTTTACATTGACAGCCAAAGGAATCAGGCGTGAACGGTGGGGAGAGTTAAAATACCGCCCGAATTGAATGCAAAAGATTTCTTGAGATTACATCCATTTAAAAGGCTTCATTTAAAATATCAAATAAAGTTCTCTGTAAGTCAATTTTGTTATATAAGGTTAACCATTATGTGGTTACAAAAATACAGCGCTGTATTTGGACATCTGTTAAACTTAACTGTCAAACCAAACATTTTCTGTTGTAGTTAAAAGTCCGGTATTTATGAAAATCAATCGCTTAACAACCGCACAACGCGTTAAAATTTTTAAATTCTACAATAAAAATTTCGTTTGATAAGTGGTCATGTTTCACGCTGTAAGAAAAAATTATGATTTACAAAATAGTAGATTTTTTTTTTTTTTTAGAAATACGAAGAAGCTGCATCGGTTACAGATATTGTAAGTCCAGTGCATTCTGTGTCTACTTCTCGGCGTTCTCAAGAGCTAGGATTTTCTTTTGGAACAATATGATGCATTTGGAACTTGAACTTACACCTAGATTCATTCATATAAAATCCAGCTCGAATTGTATGACTTTTTGAAAAAAAAAATTTTCTTTAGCGGCGTGGAATATGAAAAAAAAGAAAAAATATCGCATTTGATGCGCCGACAAACCTCAAATAGTTAAAAAAAACCAGGTATGATTTTACTTTAATTCTTTGGAAAATACAACGGCGAGCTTGTCACTGACCCAATTTTTTTGGCCTTCAATTGGAGAACACGACTTGGACAAGATGTTGCCACATGCCACACAACACGAGTGAATATAGGTTTATTGTGATGAAGATTTCTGGCCGCGTAATTTCTCGTCTTGGTAAAATCAACTGTTAATCAAGATCGTGCGATTTGACACCGTTAGACTTTTTTAATGTTAGGCTACGCGAGAGACCGTGTTTATGCGCACACAGCTGATAACTCTTGAAAACTTGAGAACCGACCTTCGTCAAGTTATGGTTGAATAACGTCCAATATATGCTCAGCAGTGGCCGAAAACAGATCGAACTTTGCGAAAATTTTTTAAGTAGTCATTTGAACGCTGCAGTGATTCACTTATAGTACCAAGACTCAAACTTTATACCAAAAAGGAGTTTCATAAAAAAATTTTTTGGAATGCATATTTTTACGTTTATTTTCAAAACCACAAAAGAGATAACACTATACATATGTTTTGTTGTGTGGTAATGTGAACTTTTCTACCAATGATATGAATATATAATAGGAGTACTCACCCTGGCCGTGATAAATAAAATAGGTTAATACTAAGCTACCTCCGAGGAGTCTTGACTTCCCGGCCGCAATTGGAAAATTTAACTAAATTTTTTATTTAAATTAATTTTCGATATTTTTTTCGGATGTTGGTCTGAGTCCAGGACTACAAACCTGGCCTTCCGGATGGCAGTACCAAAGAACATATATTAATAAGAAGGGAGAAGGACTGTGAATTCTTCATTAAGAGGCTCACGTTTCACAGTCGGAGTGCGTGTCCTTTTTGGACCTTCTTTCGCACAATAAATTCTCCTCGTAGGGGTTATGTTGTTTTGTTCTCTCGGCATTTTTACTGCGACGAAGACAACAAAAACGACAAAAAGGCAAATGATGCGAACTCGCTTTGAATTTATTTCCTATTACTTTAAAAAATTTTGCTTCCATATTTATTTGATGAAATAAATGAATTTACATAATGAGATGAAACGGACTGAAACTTCATTGTTGTATTTGTATTTACACCATTTCTAAATTCCTGTATTATCCATTAGTTAAAGTGCATTAAGTGACAATTAATACACGCTTTTTGGCTAACCCCTAGGCTAGTGCCGCTGGAAACATTCAAATCAGTTGGTTGTTTTCTTTCCGTGTCTAAAAAGTTTTTTCAGAGATGCTTAACTAATGAAACGTTACAATATCGTTTTTATTATGGAAAAAAACTTAACGAAATGAAATCGTTAATGTTGAATCACACTCAGCGTTAACATTAATTCAAAAATGTCTGCTGCCAACGTCAAAGTTGTTCTAAATTTTTTTGCAATTTTTTGATGTCTTTTTCCCTCACCGAACGCGTTGCAATAAAATTTTAGCTTAGTTCGCCGAACAGGAATATTAACAGCACATTTCAATTTTAACATTCCCTGTTAACTATTTAACATTAACATAAGCATTTCGTATCGGAGAAAAACGAAATAAAATTTACTTTGATAATGACTTTACCGATAACAGTTTCAAATATTTCAAGCGAGAAGATTGAAGTTTTTTGATTGGGTAAAATCTAGCGTTGCGGTTGCAGCTTTTGTGTATTGGCTTTATTGCAACATTTAATTAAATTCTTGGCAATTTGTATGTTGTATTTCTGAAAACATTTAAAGTTTTTAATTAAATTGAATCAAACGTTTTGGAAAAAAAGATATCAAACTACTACTGTCATAGAGTAAAAAGCAGCAACCTTAGGCCCTCCCAAAAAAACCGCTCCCGAAAAATTCTTCTGAGTTTACCTCTGAAAGACATATAACTACATTTGTTTTATGTATGCATTTATGTTATTTAATTGATTTAATATTTATTTACAACTTTCGTTTTATTTGTTTATTTTTTTGTTTATTTACTTGTATATATAAATTAAATAAATTTAATAATTTTTAATAATTTTTATTATTATTTTTTTTCTATATATTTTCAGCAAACCATTAATTTGCTTTGGCAATACACACCTTCTACGTCGTGACTGCGTATAAAAAAATACAAAGTTTTAACAAAATCACACTCATAAGAGACAAGGCACATAAGAAACAACAGTTTGAATACCGCAAACATCTACTCTTTGCCACATTTTTCTCTGCAACATGTAAATATTTTTTAACTCTGTCAACGCTTTTTTGCTTCAGTTTTATTTTTTAACATTCATAATTCAGTACCAATAAAAAAAAAAATAAAAAAAAAAAATTTAAATACAATTTTGCAAAAATTACTTCACTTTTTCACATTCTCATTAAAATATAATTTAACTTCCATCTTGAAATAGAAAATTAATTTTTCAACTCGAATAACGTAATAACTAAATAAGTGATATTAATTAACTTTTCGTTTCATTTAAAATAAATAATTTATTATTGTGCATTATAATCCAGTTGATAAAATGCGAGAAAATATATGAATAAAGCAAAAATCATTTTGGTGACTTGTAGCACAAACAGACATACAATAATAATTTTACATATATATTTACATACATGAATCACTTTAAAGTGGCAGCAAATTACAACAACAAGCGATTAATTTCAACTTAACAAAAATAAAAAATTAAAAACGTTTTAACTTCATTCAAACAACGATTCTGTGATATAAGAACCAAAAGGTAAGTGAATGAATTTGATAAAAATACTTTTATATGAAAAAAATTCAAAATTAATTATATAAAATAGAAATAGAAAAACATTTTACTTACATATAAAGAACTCTTTCAGCAAACGGAGTTTTTAAAAACACATTTTTAAGATAATATACTTCTATTTAACTACTTAACACAATTATCTGATAGAACTCGGCTTTCACAATCTTCCCTTAATCCTAATTTCCTTTTAATCATGAAGTTTTGGCAGGCGAGAAAAACGGATAGTCACTTGGTGCAGGTGTAGACCATATAATGCATGCTTTAAAACTCACCACGAGTCATCACCTCAGTCGTGTGCGGTCGATGTTACTTAGTATTAGTATACACGCAGCCGGGGATACCAAATATAAAAAAGCAGTCTCTTTTCGTACCATCGAAGGTTGCTTTAAAATCGATGAAGAGCCGGTGTTTGCCTATTTTATTTTCACGAGACTTTTCCAATATTTGATACATAGGGAATATCTGGTCAATAGTTGATTTACCACGTCAAATGCCACACTGATAAGATCCAATCAGTTTGTTGCCGGTGCGCCTTAGTCTTTCACACAAATCGCTCGATAGGACTCTATATGAATCTGTAACTGTTACAGCATATCTCCTTTTGTTCCATTTTCTTTGCCATTTAGCAATATGATGCAGTTTTTCTCCCATATATTTAGTATACTCTGAGTATTAGTCGCAAGAGGTTGCTTCAAACCTTCAGTAAGTCGTCCTTTCTTTTCATAGATTTTTCAAGCATTGCCTTCTCTATCAGCTTCTTATGCTTTACATATCACTCTTCTCGGTTTCTTCCCTTTTTTATCTGCACATGCACCTTGCTTTCCGTTTCGATTCACGATATCTATCCCATACCGCCCGCATAGTGGTCGTAAAGTACTTACGTTAGCAGACTGTTTTCTCTCTTCTGCGGCACGTCCATCCAAATCGTACTAGTTTTTTTATGGCCTTTTCGAGTAGAAATAATTTCTTTTATTGCTTTACACAGGCAGTTTGAAATGCCGTACCGCAGTTCCTTTACACCGAGTTGTTCACGATTGCTCTCAGTGAGTAGTAGTGCGAGTCGAGTAGAGAGCTACGCGACAGTCTGTTGTGTTTGCAGCTCTTTGACGTCGAGCCTTCTATGTATTTGTTGCCAAGCATTCTTTGCTGGACAGAGACGGGTGCGTATTCTTGCTTGCTTCTAGATATTGAAACCATAGAGCGTGGTCAGAGTGGAAGCACGTCAAGTACACTAGAGACATGTGGTCCGTCTATTGCCACATCATGGATCTAATTGTAAGTTTTCCCATGATGCGGGGAGATAAAGTAGTTTGATGAATTGGTGTGGGCACGCTTCAGGCGCTAATAAAAGATTTCATTGGACACGTCGTCATTCTCTTAAACAACTTCGTATTGATGCGGATTGTGTCGAGACTTTCAACCACCGTAGCAAATGTCAGAACTCTCCAAATTTCCGTTCCTTTACTTAGCCTCCTTCGTAAATGTTACAAAGGACTTACTCTCCACCGTTCTTGTCACGTCCAACGCATTTTTTGAACATTGGTGTTGTCGGCTTTTAGTCTCAAGAGATCATCAACCAGCTTGGCAGAGGACCCTACCCATTTAAGGAATCGACCATTTCTGTTGCTTGCCTTTGATCAAAGGTTAGGATAGGTAGAAGTGGCAAGCAATCTTACGAGTTGGATACTATTAAGCCTGACTAAGAACCATAACTTAGCCACGATAACTCAGCCATCAGGTTTCATCATCGATCGATTATATCCATGACTGCATCATCAGTTATCTCCAATAGACCATTCAAGAATAGGGTCCCAAAATTCCGAAACCAAGCCGTGCTCAAAGCAGGACAGTCATATAAGAGATTGGTAATCGCTTACTCCTCTTCATCCTCCTTGCAGCTTCTGCAACAACTTCTGTAGGGAGCCCCTAGTCTTGCCGCGTCATCCTCTAAGACATTGAACGGTCAGATCTCCTATTTTTTTGGCAATACATGGTCCTTAATACATTTACAGTGATCGACATCATTCGAGGCATTACTAACTTTTTGATTGGAACTGATTTTTACATGGCAGTTGCTAAACCCAGTTTAAAATTTCGAGTGAGCCGCTTGCTTGAAGATCGAGGACCGTTTGATCTGCTGAACAGACGCTATAATTAGCATTGCATTAACCACTTAATTAGCGCAATTATTTATCATTACCCTGATATTTGGTGCCCGAAGTTGCATTTTGCAACCTTTTTGAGGTAAGCTTGTTCCAAACGAAGTTCCACTCAGAATTCTAATCCGAGAAATTCGGTCTCTACGACAAAGTTTCCAGCATTCCATACTATGTAACACACACTAAAAGCGGCCACTTTAGAAAGACGCATATTATTTTGATCGCACACTAATTAGAAAAAGGCCATAAAATAATAAAAGACGAGATAATGGAAATACTGTTAAACAAGTAAGAGCACAAAGAATTTCTAATAAATTCACACAGCGACTTTCACAAAATTCCACATAAATCGTATACTATTTACGTACATCCACACATACATACATTCACGCATACATACATACATATCTGGTAGAACATGCAAATTCTACTAACGCGTAGAATATTGTATTTTTATAGGCGCGCAAAGTGGGCAGATTAACGATCGATTTTTACAGCCAATCATTTACAGTTTTCATATTTTAATTGTCATGAAACGACAACAAGACAACGATAAAAACTGCAGTTACTCACAGCTGAAAGGCCTGCTGCTGAGCCATTAGCAAGACGTTAAGAACATAAAACGACAAACGAAAAGCAAAAAAAAAGAAATATTAAAAATTATGAGCTATTAAACGGCACGCACCAACAACGGCGGTGTGTAATAATAATAACAACAAAAATGAAAAAAAAAAAACAAAAAAGAACAAAGTAAACAAAAAAAAAACGTATTGCAACTAAAGTGCAAAAACAAGAGTTGAGAAAAAAATATTTATGTTCGTATGCAAATAACATTCATTATATATGTATAAATATTTGCATATGGAGAAACATCAACCAAAAAAATAAACAACAGCGAAAATTCTTTAGCCTCAATCAATGCAGTTTCTCAGGCCGCTCGTATTTTGCGTGTAGCAAATAATTCAATTCGTTTAAGAAACTCATTTATTTATTTATTAGCTAAATCGACTTATTCGCACCAATATTGAATGTGAGTATAACATTTCACGCCGACAAATTTACGCAATGCCAACGGCGACTGATATCTTTGCGCTGGCGAGACGGCAAGGCAGGTGAGGTGCGCTGCAAGTACATACGAGTATGTGGGTTGCGTCTGCGCCTATGTGAGCTTATCGTTCCGATTGCAACCATATGCGTTATATTTATTACCACACGCACACACACACACACACACATGCCGACAAGTATTGAATAAATTAAAAAATTAATATTAATTGTGTTAGAATAAACATTTGTTTGTCAATATGCCAAACAAAGTACCTGTCGCTGAGATTTCCAATCAAAACCTCAATAAAAAGTCATAAAATTATACAAAATTTATTCTTTTATAGTTTAAAACATATGCTCATATTTAACCCTCTACTTAATGTAGTATTTATTTATGAGCCGTTGATGGTTGATTTGTAATGCAAATGCTGCTAGTTTGTATGTACATGTATGTGTATGCGTTGAGACGGTGGGTGGTTTTGTGTCATTTTTGCTCCCATAATTGCAGGCGTTAAAGGCATCGATATTAATGTCTCTTGTCTGTCTGTCTGTCTATCTCTCTGTCTGTCTAGCTGCAATGCCTGGCATATCTTTGCCGCACTTCCTATTTACTTAATTATTTTGTACCATATAATTGCCAATCTGTCAACACCTTGCGGGCAACATTCTAAATTCTATCGAACACCTATTTATTATATTGTATGCACTTATAATATATACACACACACAAGCGTATGCATATTTTGCGTACGATCGTATAATTAGTTGTGGCTCTTATCTGGTTTAATGAACTGTAACTGTAGAAAACGCCTCCGGCGTAGATAAGCAAAAGCGGTACATGATAGCATTATGCAGTCAGTTGACAGCGACAACAGTAATTACGCAGACAAGGCTTGTTTTTGAATGAATATTAAACAGGCATAGCCATAAGAAAGGAAAGTAGATCTATCTTCGATCATGCCGAAGTCTTTATACCTTTCATGATCTTATCAAATTTCAATGGGTATTTCATTTTAGAACTAAATATCAATTCTTATTTCTACACAAATCGGTTGGAGGGCGCTATATGATATGGTTACGATCTTGCCAATTAAGAGGTTAAATAGCTTCTGGATGTAGATAATGTGAGTTTCTTATTTAGCTCTAAAGGCTTGCTAGAGATATGTGACATAAATTCAAGCAAATTTCTAAGTGCTGATTTTCCTTTAGAAACCCCGTAGTTATCGCAACCGAGTTTACTTTCTAATTGAACTAACTTTCATTGGTCGCTCTCCTTTATACCCAACGGATGGTGCTCGTACTCAGTTCTGAAAGTTTCTGGCATGTTTTTGCGATATATTGACTACTCGATACTCGCGCTCTCAAATGGTTTTAGTTATCGGTATCTGCTTTTTATCTGTCATTCGTTTTTGACATTTTCGCCACAATATATTAGTGCGATTTTGATGGTTTCCTTTGCCAAGAATATCAATTTGTATGATTTTAGACTCTTCTTTTGCTTTAGATTCTTCTTTGACGGATTTTTCACCAAAAATCTGATATCAGAAGACATCGAATATATGGACTCTATATGATATGGTTCGCTGATTTCTATGATTTTCAGTACCAACATGTTGTTAAGGGCTTATGTGTGTAGAATTTCAAATTTCGCGCTTTTAAATAAATTTTTTTGTTTTGACAAATTTATTACCCAAAATCTCAAAACTAAAAAGTCCTCAAGTTGAAATAAATATCATTAAAATAATACTATTCTTTTTTCACTGAGAGGAAGATTTG